GACCTCCTGTGGAAGACCTCCTGTGTGATCCCGGTTCCTAAAATACCTCCCACCTGATGAAGACCATGGAGCACTGACCTCCCACATGATGAAGACCATGGAGCACTGACCTCCTGATGAAGACCATGGAGCACCGACCTCCTGATGAAGACCATGGAGCATTGACCTCCCACCTGATGAAGACCATGGAGCACTGACCTCCCACCTGATGAAGACCATGGAGAACTGACCTCCTGATGAAGACCATAGAGCATTGACCTCCCACCTGATGAAGACCATGGAGCACTGACCTCCCACATGATGAAGACCATGGAGCACTGACCTCCTGATGAAGACCATGGAGCACTGACCTCCTGATGAAGACCATGGAGCATTGACCTCCCACCTGATGAAGACCATGGAGCACTGACCTCCCACATGATGAAGACCATGGAGAACTGACCTCCTGATGAAGACCATGGAGCATTGACCTCCCACCTGATGAAGACCATGGAGCACTGACCTCCCACCTGATGAAGACCATGGAGCACTGACCTCCCACATGATGAAGACCATGGAGCACTGACCTCCTGATGAAGACCATGGAGCATTGACCTCCCACCTGATGAAGACCATGGAGCATTGACCTCCCACCTGATGAAGACCATGGAGCACTGACCTCCCACCTGATGAAGACCATGGAGCATTGACCTCCCACTTGATGAAGACCATGGAGCACTGACCTCCCACCTGATGAAGACCATGGAGCATTGACCTCCCACCTGATGAAGACCATGGAGCACTGACCTCCCACCTGATGAAGACCATGGAGTACTGACCTCCTGATGAAGACCATGGAGCATTGACCTCCCACCTGATGAAGACCATGGAGTACTGACCTCCTGATGAAGACCATGGAGCATTGACCTCCCACCTGATGAAGACCATGGAGCACTGACCTCCCACATGATGAAGACCATGGAGCACTGACCTCCTGATGAAGACCATGGAGCATTGACCTCCCACCTGATGAAGACCATGGAGCATTGACCTCCCACCTGATGAAGACCATGGAGCACTGACCTCCTGATGAAGACCATGGAGCATTGACCTCCCACCTGATGAAGACCATGGAGCACTGACCTCCCACCTGATGAAGACCATGGAGCACTGACCTCCCACATGATGAAGACCATGGAGAACTGACCTCCTGATGAAGACCATGGAGCATTGACCTCCCACCTGATGAAGACCATGGAGCACTGACCTCCCACCTGATGAAGACCATGGAGCACTGACCTCCCACATGATGAAGACCATGGAGCACTGACCTCCTGATGAAGACCATGGAGCATTGACCTCCCACCTGATGAAGACCATGGAGCATTGACCTCCCACCTGATGAAGACCATGGAGCACTGACCTCCCACCTGATGAAGACCATGGAGCACTGACCTCCCACTTGATGAAGACCATGGAGCACTGACCTCCTGATGAAGACCATGGAGCATTGACCTCCCACTTGATGAAGACCATGGAGCACTGACCTCCCACCTGATGAAGACCATGGAGCATTGACCTCCCACCTGATGAAGACCATGGAGCACTGACCTCCCACCTGATGAAGACCATGGAGTACTGACCTCCTGATGAAGACCATGGAGCATTGACCTCCCACCTGATGAAGACCATGGAGTACTGACCTCCTGATGAAGACCATGGAGCATTGACCTCCCACCTGATGAAGACCATGGAGCACTGACCTCCCACATGATGAAGACCATGGAGCACTGACCTCCTGATGAAGACCATGGAGCATTGACCTCCCACCTGATGAAGACCATGGAGCATTGACCTCCCACCTGATGAAGACCATGGAGCACTGACCTCCTGATGAAGACCATGGAGCATTGACCTCCCACCTGATGAAGACCATGGAGCACTGACCTCCCACCTGATGAAGACCATGGAGCACTGACCTCCCACCTGATGAAGACCATGGAGCACTGACCTCCTGATGAAGACCATGGAGCATTGACCTCCCACCTGATGAAGACCATGGAGCATTGACCTCCCACCTGATGAAGACCATGGAGCATTGACCTCCCACCTGATGAAGACCATGGAGCACTGACCTCCTGATGAAGACCATGGAGCATTGACCTCCCACCTGATGAAGACCATGGAGCATTGACCTCCCACCTGATGAAGACCATGGAGCACTGACCTCCTGATGAAGACCATGGAGCATTGACCTCCCACCTGATGAAGACCATGGAGCACTGACCTCCCACCTGATGAAGACCATGGAGCACTGACCTCCCACATGATGAAGACCATGGAGCACTGACCTCCCACCTGATGAAGCACTGACCTCCTGATGAAGACCATGGAGCACTGACCTCCCACCTGATGAAGACCATGGAGCCGCTCCGTGAAGCCGCTCCGAGGGTCATGTTTTTCGACTTCTCCAGTGCTTTTAACACCATCAGACCGGCACTGCTGCAGGGGAAGATGGAGGACGCGGGAGTGGACAGTAGCCTCACTGCATGGACCATCAACTACCTCTCTGCATGGACCATCAACTACCTCACTGCATGGACCATCAACTACCTCACTGCATGGACCATCAACTACCTCACTGTATGGACCATCAACTACCTCACTGTATGGACCATCAACTACCTCACTGCATGGACCATCAACTACCTCTCAGAGCGACCACAGTACGTGCGGCTGCGCAGCTGTGAGTCTGAGGTGGTCGTCTGCAGCACTGGGGCCCCTCAGGGCACTGTCCTCTCACCGTTTCTCTTCACCATCTACACTTTGGAATTCACACACGACACACAGACTGAGACACCCTCAGTGTAAGAAGGAGCGCTACCGCAGGGCCTTTATCCCCACCGCTGTCAGACTGTACAACAAGTCACTTTAAGTCACTGTATAAGACTGAAAGAACCTGCACTACTACTACTGCACTATAACAAAACCATTGAAATTACCAACACAGATCAGAGAATCAACAGTTAACACACAAAATATGCACATATGAGTTGGTCCATAGGGAGAGACCAATGTCCATGAATGTTGATAAATGTCATACATGTTGTAGAATGTTAAAGTGTCCTGGATCACCACAGTCCTTCTAGTTGGACACTAACTGTCCAACAGACTCCTGCATCGGCAAGGGAAAAAAAACACTGTAGTACCAGCTCGGCCTGGTTTGAACGAGAGGTAGAGTAGCGTAGGGTAGGGTAGAGTAGCGTAGGGTAGCGTAGGGTAGGGTAGGGTAGGGTAGGGTAGGGTAGGGTAGAGTAGCGTAGGGTAGGGTAGAGTAGCGTAGGGTAGGGTAGGGTAGCGTAGGGTAGAGTAGCGTAGGGTAGGGTAGGGTAGGGTAGGGTAGAGTAGCGTAGGGTAGGGTAGAGTAGCGTAGGGTAGGGTAGAGTAGCGTAGGGTAGGGTAGGGTAGCGTAGGGTAGAGTAGCGTAGGGTAGGGTAGCGTAGGGTAGGGTAGGGTAGGGTAGAGTAGCGTAGGGTAGCGTAGGGTAGGGTAGGGTAGGGTAGGGTAGAGTAGCGTAGGGTAGGGTAGAGTAGCGTAGGGTAGGGTAGGGTAGAGTAGGGTAGGGTAGAGTAGGGTAGCGTAGGGTAGAGTAGGGTAGGATAGGGTAGCGTAGGGTAGGGTAGTAGGGTAGGGTAGGGTAGCGTAGGGTAGGGTAGGGTAGCGTAGGGTAGGGTAGGGTAGGGTAGAGTAGGGTAGCGTAGGGTAGAGTAGGGTAGGATAGGGTAGCGTAGGGTAGGGTAGGGTAGGGTAGAGTAGAGCTGGTAGAAACAGAGCTACAGTAAAGTTAGCGGTTGTGTGAAGCTATATATTGTCTGTGGTGTCAATGTTTTGCTGACGGACATTTTGCTAAGACGGTTGCTAAGGCATACAGCTTTTATGGCTCATATTTATCTACAAAGACATCATCACAATATAAACACCAAGTTAAACCACTGACTTTTAAGCCCAAAATGGTGAGTGTGACACAAACGGTTTCTGAGCTATAGAGGAGTTTACTTCTTACATGTGAGTCAATATGAGCCAGAGCGAGTTGGAGCCAAGCTTTGCCCATGAGCACTTCCCTATTGAGATTCATTGAGCAAGCGTGTTAGCACGGTGCTAGCCTGGTTGTCCCACATCATAGTACAAATTACATTTCATAGTAAGGTCTGGATTTGCTCCATTGAGCTCCGTAAACAGGTGGGAGGGGTTAACTCCTTTTGCAGATGGAAACGATTGGATCTGAGTTTACCGTGACGTATGTAATGCGCCCGAGTGAGTTGTTAGCATTTAGCATTTAGCCTAGCCATCTCCTTTGCCGCTAACGGAGCCCGTGGGGAGTAGCGCCACAATCTTGACCAGCGATTACATTTGCTAAACATTCCTCTTGCTCCTGCTTCAATTTCTTGATAGAACCAGACCGGAATACTTTACTATCGCATTCTTCACCATTACCAAACTACAACCTGCCCGTTCGGCGCAAACTCTTGTCGTCACCGGCACCGACCTACAACGTGCTCTCTGAGTAGCCGGTCGAAATACGACCGATTGTATTCGCTAACACAGGGACCAGACGTTACATGCAGTGAAATTATGATTGAGCGCAGTGTACGGATGGATAAGGCCAGGCTAGGCCTGTCCATCTATATACATCCTATAGTTATTAGTCAAAATATCCAAAGTAAGGCCAAAAATATATCCCTATTTCTGCCTGGGTGTAGGGTAGAACTTATTTTCTTGCAAAATGGAAAAAAAGTCTATTTAATAAATAAAAAAATCAACTACAGAAATCTACTTAAGTATTGTTTTTCTGTGCGTTGAAGTGCACCACACGCAGTTCATCCCATAATAAAGTGGACAGTGACAGGGTTAAAACATTCAAACTGTATTTACATGCGGCGAGAGATCCCTAGAGTGCGTTTCCATGGCAACGGCTGCAGCTGCGTTGACTCCATTCTGAACATCTGGGGTGACGTGAGCCAATGACAAACCGTCGCCGCCGCCAAGTCCGCTTTGGCAGCAGTTTGATTGGGATAGATATGAAACAAGTCCACAGAAATGTGAGAAAATCAGGATCAGAAAGTTTTACAAGGATTGAGATCTGGGTTTGGAGATTGTCCTTCAGTTTGTAATGAAATGAAATGTTTGGGAGTTAAACAATGGCAACAAAGCACTTACAGCACGATTACATGAGACAATCCTCTGCTCCTCTGCTCGAGGATAAATAACAAGTTTAAAGTGTTGGAAGAACTCATATAGAATCAACAATAACATCTACAGGGACCTGGCTGCCCACAACAGTTTCTTTACTTTTTCATTACATATTTATCATTAAGATTCAGAGATCCTTTATCAGTCCCAAAGTGGGGAAATGTCAATGTTGCATCACAAGTTAGGAATGAGGAGAACATAGCACAAAGTAAATGAATACAAACCCTACTCTAAAATGAAATAAATCAAATAAAACTCTAGCATAAAAATAAGCATTATAACAATTTTATCTTTAGCATAAGGACACAAATGTAAAATCCCCAACTTTAGCATGATGAAGAAGCAAGAGTAAAATACTGAATGTTCTGGTGCAGTCATATACAGTTGTGTGTTTACATCTGTGCAAAGGCCATCAAACTGACTGCTCCTGGACTTCTAGAGTTAGATTGTTTTTTAGAAGCATTGCTATTAATTCACACACAAAAAAACCTTTTCATCTCTCAGCCACTTCCCTCTTCCCCGCATTAGTCGTGTCCCAGTCTAAACTATCCACATACTATACTCTTACATAAACAGAGCTGCTGCATCAGGTCTAATGCCTTCCACATGTTTTTAGACCTGATTTTACTAAACAAGAACACATGTGCCACAAACGCCGCTATAACCGCACGCCGGCCATCGACATGAGAGAAGCATTGTTGAAAATAAAATTAGGGGCCATTTTCCCCCATTCAGTAAAATCATTTGGGGTTGTAAAGTGAATTTCCATGAGTAGGCAAAGTGAAAGGGCTACTGATAATTTTAGCCATTTCTCGTACAGTATGTGGTATTGCTTTTAGACCGGTCATGGTGCTACGGTTATAGGAATTATATAAAGCTGGGTCACTCAACTGGTACTCACTGGGGTCTTGTACAGTTTTTCCAATGTGGTTTTACTGCAAATGGCAAATAAATTCTTGTATCTTGTAACTTTCAAACCACAACCCAAAAAACCGATCCGAACCAAGCGGATCAGGCGAAAATCCACTGGAGGAATGATAACTTATAGGAAAATGCTCTCTGCTGCCACCTGTGGCCTGAAGCTGCTACTGTTATTACGATTGTTAGCTTTTTAGAATGATACATTATATTTTTTATTTTCTCTACTACTGGACACCTGAATTTCTTCTACGGGGATCTAACTATTTTTCTTTTACATGACTCTTTCTGTGGAGACAAAATAATTAGAATAATGAAGAGACTAAGAAAAAACTAAAAATTAGCTCAGCTTAAAACGTTTATGGAAGTTGATTGTCATTTGATTCAGTGCGGTTTTGTTGCTGCTTCCACCACTTTACATCTGCATCAGTGACTGGCCAATTTACTTTAAAGGACTTCTAGACGAAGCGCCATGCATGCATTTTAGAAACAAAATTATACATACAATTATCAATAGGCATATAACATTTCATACATACATAAACACACATCATGCATGCATCTGGAACAAAACAATAGAATTTGGGAAGACTGGATTTACATAAATTTGAGAAATATGTATGATTTTTTTTTTTAATCTACTGCGTGACCTTTGTCCGTCTCTCTCATCACTCAGATAAACTCATTAATGGAATCACAGGCATAACATTTAAATGAAGTAATTGTGGAGTGATTTGTTTGTCCATCGCTGCTGAGTGTCGTCTTTCAGGCTGATTAAACGCACGTATCTCATATCCTACACTTTTGGAATATCCAGTGCATTCCTTCTGTTGGGCTGGTCCTCGTTTATGTCCACAGTCCGACAGAGTGAGATCTTCCAGAGCCCAAATCACTGGACATTTGCACAACCCAGAAAAATGTCATTTATTTGTATATTTTCTGTGTGTGGACAAGGATTAGAGCAGGATTAATACACAAATACGCACAAGCACACACACACACACAAACACCCCTTCCTCTCACACACACACACACACACGCACACGCACGCACACACGCACACGCACGCACTTACGCACGCACGCACGTACACACACACACACACAATGTAAGCAGCTGCGATGTTTCTTTGCTAGCTGTAAATGCTTCAACATCAATCTTTCAAAATATCTAAATCTATCTATATACATACACATTTATATACATATAGGGAAGGAAATTAGATAAGAGACACAAGCTTTAAACTATGACTAGAAATCTGACTTTTGACACTTACCATAGTCGCCCTCCGCCACATTTCTAAGGAATAGCTTTGTTGGAATAAAGGGTATTCTTAATAAAAGTCTAAATCTCACATTGTAGAGCCGAGCTGTTGCTGCATATTCTTTGAGCAGTTTTGGACTTGAAAATCTACTTTTCAAATGAAGTGTAAAAACTAGCTCTTGGACTGTGACTCTGCACATATGTCTGCTGCATGTGCCTGTGTTTATAACTGTCTGCTGCATGTGCCTGTGTTTATAACGGTCTGCTGCATGTGCCTGTGTTTATAACGGTCTGCTGCATGTGCCTGTGTTTATAACGGTCTGCAGCATGTGCCTGTGTTTATAACTGTCTGCTGCAGCTGCATGTGCCTGTGTTTATAACGGTCTGCTGCATGTGCCTGTGTTTATAACGGTCTGCTGCAGCTGCATGTGCCTGTGTTTATAACGGTCTGCTGCATGTGCCTGTGTTTATAACGGTCTGCAGCAGCTGCATGTGCCTGTGTTTATAACGGTCTGCAGCATGTGCCTGTGTTTATAACGGTCTGCTGCATGTGCCTGTGTTTATAACGGTCTGCAGCAGCAGCATGTGCCTGTGTTTATAACGGTCTGCTGCATGTGCCTGTGTTTATAACGGTCTGCTGCATGTGCCTGTGTTTATAACGGTCTGCTGCATGTGCCTGTGTTTATAACGGTCTGCAGCAGCAGCATGTGCCTGTGTTTATAACGGTCTGCAGCATGTGCCTGTGTTTATAACGGTCTGCAGCAGCATGTGCCTGTGTTTATAACGGTCTGCTGCATGTGCCTGTGTTTATAACGGTCTGCAGCATGTGCCTGTGTTTATAACGGTCTGCAGCATGTGCCTGTGTTTATAACTGTCTGCTGCAGCTGCATGTGCCTGTGTTTATAACGGTCTGCTGCAGCTGCATGTGCCTGTGTTTATAACGGTCTGCTGCATGTGCCTGTGTTTATAACGGTCTGCTGCATGTGCCTGTGTTTATAACGGTCTGCTGCAGCTGCATGTGCCTGTGTTTATAACGGTCTGCTGCATGTGCCTGTGTTTATAACGGTCTGCAGCATGTGCCTGTGTTTATAACGGTCTGCTGCAGCTGCATGTGCCTGTGTTTATAACGGTCTGCTGCATGTGCCTGTGTTTATAACGGTCTGCTGCAGCTGCATGTGCCTGTGTTTATAACGGTCTGCAGCATGTGCCTGTGTTTATAACGGTCTGCTGCATGTGCCTGTGTTTATAACGGTCTGCAGCATGTGCCTGTGTTTATAACGGTCTGCTGCAGCAGCATGTGCCTGTGTTTATAACGGTCTGCAGCATGTGCCTGTGTTTATAACGGTCTGCTGCATGTGCCTGTGTTTATAACGGTCTGCTGCATGTGCCTGTGTTTATAACGGTCTGCAGCAGCAGCATGTGCCTGTGTTTATAACGGTCTGCTGCATGTGCCTGTGTTTATAACGGTCTGCTGCATGTGCCTGTGTTTATAACGGTCTGCAGCATGTGCCTGTGTTTATAACGGTCTGCTGCATGTGCCTGTGTTTATAACGGTCTGCTGCAGCTGCATGTGCCTGTGTTTATAACGGTCTGCTGCATGTGCCTGTGTTTATAACGGTCTGCAGCATGTGCCTGTGTTTATAACGGTCTGCTGCAGCTGCATGTGCCTGTGTTTATAACGGTCTGCTGCATGTGCCTGTGTTTATAACGGTCTGCTGCAGCTGCATGTGCCTGTGTTTATAACGGTCTGCTGCATGTGCCTGTGTTTATAACGGTCTGCAGCAGCTGCATGTGCCTGTGTTTATAACGGTCTGCTGCAGCTGCATGTGCCTGTGTTTATAACGGTCTGCTGCAGCTGCATGTGCCTGTGTTTATAACGGTCTGCTGCATGTGCCTGTGTTTATAACGGTCTGCTGCAGCTGCATGTGCCTGTGTTTATAACGGTCTGCAGCATGTGCCTGTGTTTATAACGGTCTGCTGCATGTGCCTGTGTTTATAACGGTCTGCTGCATGTGCCTGTGTTTATAACGGTCTGCAGCAGCAGCATGTGCCTGTGTTTATAACGGTCTGCTGCAGCTGCATGTGCCTGTGTTTATAACGGTCTGCTGCATGTGCCTGTGTTTATAACGGTCTGCTGCATGTGCCTGTGTTTATAACGGTCTGCTGCATGTGCCTGTGTTTATAACGGTCTGCTGCATGTGCCTGTGTTTATAACGGTCTGCTGCAGCTGCATGTGCCTGTGTTTATAACGGTCTGCTGCATGTGCCTGTGTTTATAACGGTCTGCTGCATGTGCCTGTGTTTATAACGGTCTGCAGCATGTGCCTGTGTTTATAACGGTCTGCTGCATGTGCCTGTGTTTATAACGGTCTGCTGCATGTGCCTGTGTTTATAACGGTCTGCAGCAGCAGCATGTGCCTGTGTTTATAACGGTCTGCTGCAGCTGCATGTGCCTGTGTTTATAACGGTCTGCTGCATGTGCCTGTGTTTATAACGGTCTGCTGCATGTGCCTGTGTTTATAACGGTCTGCAGCATGTGCCTGTGTTTATAACGGTCTGCAGCATGTGCCTGTGTTTATAACGGTCTGCTGCAGCTGCATGTGCCTGTGTTTATAACGGTCTGCTGCATGTGCCTGTGTTTATAACGGTCTGCTGCATGTGCCTGTGTTTATAACGGTCTGCAGCATGTGCCTGTGTTTATAACGGTCTGCAGCATGTGCCTGTGTTTATAACGGTCTGCTGCATGTGCCTGTGTTTATAACGGTCTGCTGCAGCTGCATGTGCCTGTGTTTATAACGGTCTGCTGCATGTGCCTGTGTTTATAACGGTCTGCTGCAGCAGCTTCTGCTCCTCTCGGACCAGACGTTTACGGCACATATTTATTGATCTTTCTGCCCTCGAGTCTCACACTTCTTCTTCTTCTTCTCACTGACTTGCAGACCTGAGCTCCTCGCTGCAGCTGGACCTCACAGAGCTCATCGGAGTCCCCCTGCCCCCCGCCGTCTCCTTCGTCACTGGTTTTGAGGGATATCCGGCCTACAGCTTTGGACCCGGGGCCAACGTGGGGAGACTCACCAAATCCTTCATCCCAGATCCATTTTACTACAACTTCGCCATCACCGTCACGGCCAAACCCACCGCCAGGACCGGAGGAGTGCTGTTCGCCATCACTAATGCCTATCAGAAAGTACATTATTTTTCTAATTAATTTCACAACACAACATTTTTACAAGAATCCATTTTTCTGCCCATATTACAACAAGTGTCTTTTGTCTTGTCACGGTTATCTCTAGGTTCTTGAATTTGTTTCTGAGATTTAAACTTTGTTACCATGAAATGTATTGATGCAGTGTTTGTTATTCACAATCTAATGCAGAGGTCAGGAACCTTTGGCTCTGGGGCTAAATAAGGCTCTTTGGATGATTGCCTCAGAATTTTGTTTCAATCAATCACATTTATTCACAGAGCACAATTCATACAGTGTTAGACAAGCAATAAAACATGAAAACCGTTCATATACATACATTTTGCTTCAAATAATTCATACAGTATGCATTGCTAAATAGAAAATGTTCAGCCTTTGTATTAAGCATAGATAAACAAATTAATACATTCTGAGACAAATATAGCACTCTTAATGGGTTAAAAAAATCATCCATATTCACTATAAACAAATATATATATATACAGTACAGACCAAAAGTTTGGACACACTTTCTCATTCAATGAGTGTCTTTTCATGACTATTGCTGTAGATCCACACCAGGCTGTGTAAGGGCTGTTTGACCAATAAGGAGAGAGATGGTACTGGGCCAGATGACTCGGCCTCCAAAGTCCGGACCTGAACCCAGTCCAGATGGTTTTGGGGCTGGACCACAGAGTGAAGGCGAAAGGGCCAACAAGTGCTAAGCATCATGGGAACTCCTTCAAGTCTGTTGGAGACCATTTCAGGTCAATAACTCTTGAAGTTCATAAAGAGAATGCCAAGAGTGAAGCAGTAATCAGAGCAAAAGGTGCTACTTTGAAGAACCAGAATATAAGTCGTATTTTCAGTTGTTTCATACTTTAGTACGTACATAATTCCTCATGAGTTAACTCAATCTTCAATTTTCATAATGAGGAAATTAAAACCTCTTTGATTGAGAAAGTGTGTCCAAAGTATAGTATGTACTGTATAAAGTATCATTTTTGGCTTTTATTGGCTCTTTCAGCTAAATACTGTAGGTTCCTAATCTCTGCTCTAAGCTCTCCAAGAAGGCATAAATACACTATACATAAATACATATTTGAGGGAAGGCCAAGGGGCAGCAAAACCTTCTCAGTAACTGTTGTAAACGTAGAGTGGCCTGTGTTTCAGATCGTGCAGCTGGGCATCTCTCTGTCGGAGGTGGAGGACGGTTCTCAAAGGGTGGTCCTGTTCTACACGGACACGGGCTCCGGTTCCACTCAGGAGGCCGCTTCATTCAAGATGGGAGACATGACGGGTCGTTGGGCACGCTTCACCATCACTGTGCAGGGAGCCCAGGTATGACCACCCGACCAGGCACAAGGAAGGGACAACAGCGGTGAAATCATCTGCCATTTCATTCAGAAAGAAATTACAAAAATCCCCCAAAAATATTACCAATACTTGGGGCCATCTAAAGTAATGACCTGACTTAACCAGGGAAAAATAAAAGAAAAACTCACCCACCAAGACTATTTAGAGGCTTGAATACAAAAGAACAAAGTCAATAATAATGAGCAGCAGTGTCTCTTGACCCCCTTCGGGTCTTTGGGACCAGTGGACTCTCCTGGGGTGTAAACTGGCCTCCAGTCTTGTCCTGAAAAGACAATTGTGAGAAATGAATGAACCACAACCACATTCAGGTATTTGGAAATAAATATTATATACATTAGGTGAAGAAACGTGGCATTGGTCAATTTCAGTGGAGGCTAGTCTGGTCTTACCACACCATCGTACTAATTTCATTTCGTACTAAGGTCTGGATTTGCTCCATTGACCCCATAGCCCCTCCCACCATTAACAGGTGGGAGGGGCTAACTCATTTTGCAGATTGAAACGATTGGATCTGAGTTTACTGTGACGTACCTAATGCGCCCGAGTGAGGAATTTAGCATTTAACCTAGCTTTAGCCATCTCCTTTGCCACTAACGGATGCGAAAACAAAATAAAATCTCTAACTTTAGCTTACTAAAGAAGCAGGTATACAATAGCTTTAGCATATAAGCTATCATACTGTGATGTCACATACTGTGATGTCACATACAGGCGTACATTTGTAAGTATGATGTTCCTGGTATGATGTTCCTGGTATGATGTTCCTGGTATGATGTTCCTGGTATGTTCCTGGTATGTGTCTGCTTCAGGTGCGCTTGTTCATGGACTGTGAGGAGTACCATCGGGTGGACTTCCTCCGGAGCGATCGGCCTCTTACCTTTGAGCCCAGTTCTGGCATCTTTGTGGGGAACGCGGGAGGAACCGGACTGCCTCGCTTTGTGGTGAGTCTGGGTCTGTCTATGTCCAGGGACGGGACCATGACAGTGTTAAAGCTGGGGTACGGGACTTTCAAACCACAATACATAGAAGAATGAAATGAAATCCATAGACAGTCTCAAAACAGTTTTCTTCTGTCACTAGTTTCCACATGCACATATGTCGAGAAAATATCTAAGAGGCAAAGATGGACTCACAGGACTCAAATATGGAAAAGATAAAAATACGT